TTTAAATTTTATATAATTTATGTAATTTTTTTTTAGAAAATATAAAGCACAGAGATTGTCTAAATATTAAGAAATTGAGAAAGCAGACTTCTGGTGTGACAACGAAAGTTCAGTGTCTAACAGCTCCAGAAGAACCACAGCTCACAGAATGTGAACAGAATGCAAAGACTTAAACAAACTCGTCTGATCTGTTTAACGGAAAATATTTGACATGGTTTCAGTTGATAGACGTATGTCACATAGCTAGAAGTAAAGATGTTAAACTGTAGATTGCGCTGTCAAACAATTTACTTCCATTTTGCATAAAAGCGTCAGTTGTGTGTGAAGTAACTTTAACATCTTTTTTCTTTTTTCATCTGCAGAAATGTGCATACTGCTTGTCTTAGTTTAATCACACATCTGCGGTCTCTTTACAGATCCAGGACCTTCTGTCACCTGAACCTGTGAAAGAAACTGAATCTGGTGCGGACAGTGGAGATTCAGGTATTTAGGATGCTTGAAAATGAAAATTTTTGTTTTAAAATGCAAAAACGTACACTAAAAAATAAACCTGAGAATGAAGTAAGAAACGACAGTTATGATTGCCACCACTTAACCGTAAAAAAAAATATGGTAGCAGTATTTTTGGTTTTATGCACTGAAATGAATTTTATGGTAAACAACTGTGTATTTCATTAACTAATATAGTGTTAATATTCCATCTAAAGTAATATATTTTGTAACTGCGTAATATACTGATTACCTCCATAATAATAAAGGTGGTAAAGATGACAAACAGCATAAGATGTAACATCAAACCCATATGTACATAATTCATACAAAAATGAATAAACATTTTTTAACAAAATGCCATCAAATGGCAGGTTATGGTTATTCACTGTAAATAGTAAGAAGATTGTTTTTTGTTTCTAAAATCTGTAGTATTATATTACTGTAACAATACCTGTTACAGGTTTTCACCGCATATATAGAGATAATTTGCTGTTAGCCAACTAACAGGTTATTCCTGTTCCATTTTTAGTGTTTCATCATTAAAATTGCAAACATTTTTTTACGGTGCACACTGTAAAAAATGACTGAATTTAACGGTAAAAGACTGTAAAAATGCTACAGTAAAAACCTGTTAAATGGTTAACGGTAAATTCCCCTACTATATACAGTGAAAAACTGTATTGGACATTACATGTAATTTTACAGTAGTATACCGTTTTTGGAAGTGAAAAAGACCGGATAATTTACAGTGAATAACCGTAAATCGACTTTCCCAGAATTCCCTGTTACATTTCAAATTTTGTTTTTTTGTTGAAATAACTCTTTCTTCTTAGTTTTTTTAATCAGTTTTGTATATTAGGGTTGTATGCTATACCTAATGTTGGTAAATTAATGTTTATTGCATTATTTCAGTTTCATGTGTGTTACCGGCACAGATATTCAGGGGTCCGTTCTTCCGGACTGCCTTTTTCGAGAACCAAATTAGCTCCTACTCCGGAGCAGGGTCTAACCAGCACAACTGGTACTAATCGTGATGTAAGTAGACATTGATTGGCCAAACGCATATGAAAACGCCCTCACCCGCCATGATTTAAAACGCTGTGTAAACATACTGTAAACATTGTCAACTTATTTCGCAAGTATGGAAAACAGAGATGGATGGACGCTGAAGTGCAGGCACTTGTAGCAAATGTAGCACTGCCAGTTGTCGTTGGAGATTCTTAGTCCTCCTTTCCGTTCTTTCAATCGCTTTACATATACGTCGACTTTTCCATGTCCATTATTGTGAAACCCGTGAGACACAACAAACACACAGCTCCGATCACAGCGTCCTCCATCCTCCTGTTGTTAACGTTGTTCTTCTTTGTTTCCGTTGTTGAACACAAATGACGTCGCTGTTCCGGTTCTTAGTACACACTGTCGGTGCAAATGCAACCCTTTAAATGGTACTGGGAAATAGTTCGTGCAAAATCGTCCCAGTACTTTAGTACTGTACATTTAGTTCTGGAACTAAAGCGGTGCGAAAGGCCCTATTATATCAGTTAATGAAATTACGGTATTTAACTGTAAATTTAAGTTAAAACCGTAAAACCTAAAATGTTGCTACCGTATTTTTTACGGTAAAATTCCGGCAACCACTGCTGCTGGTTTTTTACCGTAAATTTTATGGAATTTTTTTTTACAGTGTAGAAGTCTTTTGATATTTTGTGGTGTAAATGGAATTTGCACGAATGGTGTTTTCAGGCAAGCAGCTGGTCCAGTACACGTCCCAGCCCGTGATTCTTCCTGACCCTGTCAGCACTGAAAGCACTGGCACTGACCTGCCCATCCTCCTGGAGCTGGAGGGCGACTCGTATTTCGGGTCAGAACCAGCTGAAGACCCGACCATCTCTCTTCTTAACTTCCAGTCTCCCGTTCCTGAGGACCCCAAACTATCATAGAGAGAGCAGCTTTTATAAAGGGATGTATGTCCGTGTGGGTTTTTTAAAAATGTATTCTCTTCATTTGTTTTTATTTTTGGTCATTTAACATGTCAGGGCTAGACATTAGATTGTTACTCTGGTATTTCCCTTCACGTTTAGTCTGGGAAAAATCACTAAAAAACAGTAGAGAGAATTCAGTATTCCTTCAAAACCCTCCGTCATGGAGTTGAAACATAAAAATTAGCTTTTATTTGTTGGTTTGGTAGTTTCTGGCAGTGAGAAAACCTCAAACTAAATGTGTAGTGCTACAGATGTAAATCTAAATTTATCGCCCATGCTTTGTGTGCTTATCTTTTATTTATCTGGATTGGATTTGCATCTATGCTAAGCGATTCTCTTGCAGTCTGTCACCACTGCGGAACTTCAAAAACCTCAAGTTTGGCTTGTTGTACGTGCATTTTTCTGCTATTTGGTTGTTATTATTTGATATAATTATGATGAGATGACCCCCAGATTGTTATATTCGACACCTAGGTCTCATAAGTATGCCAAATATTCATCTTCCGGAATATTTTCTTTGCAGTATATATTGAAATGCTGGTTAAAGCAAAAAAAACAAACAAACATAAAATACCTTTTATAGCCAGAAAATGCAGTCGGTTTAATTGGACAAACATGAAACAAGCATCAAAAATCAATGTTGCGTAAACTTGTCCAGCATCCCACTAGCAAACTAGTCTTCAAAGCCATAGCTGTTACTCATCATATAATGTCTGATCTTGGTTGGTGATGATGGGTATGAATTCTGACAATGTCAGATTAAGGTGCGTATTTAGAGATTTTAATTAAACGTTTTTGTACTAAAATCATATATATTTTTTGCTGTTGAAAGTTCTAATAAGCAGGACAGCCAATGATGCTGTATATAGGACATACGTTTGAATATATAAATAGTTTAGAGTGCGTTTGTTGTGATGAAACAAATTCATTTCAGACTTTGAAAACACATTCAACAGGGATGAATTACACAATAAGTGTATTATAGATTGACAGGTCATTTTATGCATTGATAAGAGGTGTATCGGATGATCTGATTTGAAGAAGTTGTGCAATAATTCAACACTTAACCAACGTTCACAGCAACACACACTGCTTTCTTTTAATCTGTTCTTTCTTCCTTTTTTCCTTTGTTTTTGTTTGCTTAGCAAAAGGAACTAGAAAATATAATAGGCGAATCTTATGAACCTTTTTGTGAGATTCACGTGCAAATTGGATACCAAAATAACGAATTGAAATTGAATTTTTTTTTGTTTTTGGTGCGATTTGTACACATGCTGTTCTCTATAGACTTCCCATCGTTCAACACTTGTTTATTTTTGGATGGTCAGACAGCGCGGTAAAGGAACCGGGAGATGAATGTCACTTGTTGATTCTGATCATTTTCAGTCACATTTTAGTCAGTGGGTGACTGTCATAGCCAGAGAGACATTAATATTAGGCATAAATTATTTTATTACGCATGTGAACAACACTTTGTGTATTGATATGTTTCAAATAAAATGTTTTTGAAAGTATTTGGAGGTAGTTTGGATTTTATTTTCCCCAAAGCTTTTGATTGTAGCCGAGGTTTTCATAGTTTCTCGTTGGTCATCGTTAGCTGGTCTAAATAGTCCATCACCGCTGGCAAGATTGCGTCTTACTAAAAGTTCACTGTCTCTGCATTAGAAACCCCATTTCTTTTTTCCCCCTTTCTTTGTATTGTCATTTTTTTATAATAGAAGCTACACGACTAAAAAATGTCTGTGGCGAAGAAAGATAGGAAAACTTCAACACCCATAATGCATTTGGCTCGATCAGGCTATCGGTGAACGGGGATACAAAAAAACACGGAAGTGTTATCTGTAGTTTTCACAAAAGCCCGCTGGATGACGCGTTTACGTCACTTTAAGGATTTTTCTGACAGATAAACGGGGATGTTTTGGTGCAGGTAACATTGAAAAAATAATGTAATAATTGTTTATTTACGTATACTGCCGACATTGTAACAATACAAAGTTGTCTGAAAATCGGTGAACTTACCTTTTAACCTAGTTAGGGTTGACAGTCAACCATTTTCCAAATAACATTACCTGTTTTTGAACCGATTCCTCCGAACAGGTAAAATGACAAATATTTTAATTTGATGTTCAAAATAGATGTTTAATTTAATGTAAAGATTATCATCAAATGACATGCATTCAGCAATATACAATCTGTGACACTGGTAAAGAATATTGCTTTAACTTCTAGGCAAGAAAATACAGTAGCGACATTTATGGGGGAAACAACCGTTAAATTTACACTGCAAATACGTTTTAAATCCTGATTTTTCTCTTTTTCATTTGACTCCTTTGATTTATTTTTTTTCTTTCGTTGTACCAATGAATAAAATACAGGGCACTTTTATAAACAGGCGCAATAAAAAGTTAAGTTACAGTATCCTCTGAATGTTTAAATAGTCAAAAATAAAACAAACGGACACACACACACAAATGAGAGATAAAGTCTAGCGGGGCGGGTTCAGGGTTCCTCTACCAGGCGTTGTGGTCTGCACTGAAATCTGTAGCGCAGAAACCTCACTCGCGGCTTCATGTGGAAATCAGCAGGTATCTTCCAGTTCCACATTTTCTGCACCTTTCAAAAAGCGCACAGATCAGTTAATTGAGGCCAAACTAGCTGGTCAGACGTTTACAAGCAGAAAATTGGGTTTCTTAATGATAGCTTTTAATTAAAGCTTTTCAGTGTCCAAATTCATCGAGCATCTTTAGTGAAACACGAGGAGAACGGACTGAAATTCTTTCATAGGCTATAACGTGCTTTCTGTCCCATTTACACTACTGTTGAAAAATTTGGGGTCAGTAAGATTAAAAATAGCCCACAGTAAAACATTTAAAAAATGTAAATAAATGGTTTTTGAATATAGATTTAATTTTGTTTTCAGTACTCCAGTCTTCAGTGTCACGTGCTATTTCAGAAATCATTCTAATATGCTGATTTGCTGCTCAAGAAACATTTCTTCTTATTAGGCTATTGTTTAAGAGTTGTGCTGCTTAATATTTTTGTGGAAATCTTAATTTTTTTCATGATTCTTTGATGAATAGAAAGCATTTACTTGAAATCGAGATCTTTTGTAACGTTGTAACAATGTCTTTTCTGTCACTTTTGATCAATTTAATGCATCCTTGCTAATTAAAAGCATTAATTTCTTAAAAAGATGTACTGACCCCCAAAGTTTTGAACTGTAGTCTATCTTAAAGGTTTCACAGACTAAAATGCTTGTTTGCGCGCTCAACTGAAAATATCTTGCTCTGACATCTGAATATGTCAGTGCCATTGTTCTGTCTCAATATGCACACCTGTAACATTTTTCTAAGGCATTTTTATAAAAGCGGTTTAAATATCTTAACTAAGGCCTAGTCCTGGCTTAAGTTAAGCCCCGTCTGTGAAACCGGGCCATAATGTGTTAACATTTAAATATTAAGTATTTTTCCAGTATTAATGAGATTGTTTGGGCCGTTTGTTTTGAATATATGAATTTTATAGATATTTGAATATAGAATTTCAGACCCACCTTCAGGACCCTGACCAGATATGTGGTACTGTTCACCTGCTGATACTGGACAGAACAAGCAAAACAGAAAAGAGAAGAGCTGCTGAGCATCTGTTTATCAGCGCAGGAGACACTCTATCATTTTTGCATCTCAATCAGACATAAACGTGAATCTATTCACAAGGTATTCACTATTTCATTTCTATTCTAGAATTTTTCTTCATTCAGTTTTACGAATGATGTGTTTCCTTGACAGGTTTGACATGGCTTTGAGGTGAAAGCAAGATACAGATCATCAGAATGAATCATAAATCATGTGACTGAAGTGAAGGAGGTCTGAACTCCCATGAAGCTTACCAGCTGGCTGTGTCTGTTCCGTAGCACCAGGTTGGCCTGTTAGAGGAGAACAAACCAGAGGTTTACATCAAAACAACTGATTTGAAGAATTTACCCTGTTTACCTGAATATGTACAGGTTAGCAGATAAAGCAGGTTTAGAGATGTAGTGTGTATCAAAAATGACATTTTGACATGATTTAAGAGACATGGATATTAAGAGACATTAAAAAAAAATAATTATTCCAAGAATTTGACCAGTAGTGTATGTATATAAAACCTTACTTGGACTCCTGAGAGTCCCTTGAGGTTCAGCTGTAGCTTAAAAATAAAAATGAAAAAAATCGCAAATATACTTTTTCCTTATAGTGTGTTTGTACTGGTATTCACCACGTTATGGGGACCAAATGTCCCCACAACGATAGCAATACCAGTAAATTCTGACCTTGTGGGGACATTTCTTAGGCCCCCATGAGGAAATAAGCTTATAAATCATATAGAATGAAGTTCTTTTAAAATCTAAAAATGTAGATTTGTGTGAGGGGTGCAGGGTAAGGGGATAGAAAATACAGTTGGTACAGTATAAAAACCATTATGCCTATGGAATGTCCCCATAATGATAGGAATACCTGTGTGTGTGTGTGTGTGTGTCACCCGCCTGTGCCCATGGCATCTGTCTGTGAGGAAACCCCTGTGAATGGATCCCCTGTGACTGGAGTTGAGTTTAAGAAAGGTTTGTTTCATTTTTAACTTTTAATAAACTTTTGACACAATTTCTGCATTGTAAGCAAACCCTTGCAAAAATTGACTTTGGTAATCATAGTTTCCACCAAATATCATTGTTGCTGTACTGTAAAATGGTAGAATTTCCTTCAAACGGGCTTTCAGTATCATCTGCAGAAACTACGTTTACCATGGTACATTTTTATAAGGGCAGCTTACCTGGATGGTTAGTCCATCTGATGAGGCAGATGTTTTCAAACGTAATTTACCTGGTAAGTCTGTCTGAACCATGCTACTATGTGTCTCTGAGGCATCTGAAAGTTTGACAAGAACATTTGAAATGCCAAAATAAAAAAATCATACAGTTTGTTACTTCAGCTGATTATTACATATATATATTTATATCCATATTTTCTGAACCTTTATATTATCTGTGCCTTGGTCATTCTGATTTATTCATATAATCTAAAGGTCACTCACCTGTAAATCCAGTCCCAGTCGCACGCACAGAATCTGCTTTTTAGAAACACACACTACACATGAAACCCTCACATGAGTGATTGACTGACATGTGTCTGGATGTGCTGAGGAAACGTGGTTACCTGTGTAATTCGGCACGCCGTCTGTCACAGCTAAGTGTCCCTGCCCTGAATAACAGGAAACGGCATGTCATAAATATTTCATGTTTACTTGAATTATTTCTTTGCATAATGTGTTGTACTCACCTGTCATGTCTGTTTGAGTCTGTCCGTCAGTCACTAGATCACCTGCCGCACCTGATCACAGTGTCAGCTCCGTTATTACAGGTACGTGCACAAAGTCCAATGCTGCTTTTACATTCACTCATGGTGTATGTTTGGTAAAATTTTAAAGATTATACCTGCCATATCTGTCTGCATGCTTGCACCGGTGACACCGTCAAATCCTTTGAGAAGCCAAGGCGAGTTTATTTATGTAGCACATTTCAAACACAATGGTAATTTAAAGTGCTTTACATACAAATGATTTGAAAATAATTATATAAAAAATGTATCTAAAAAAAAACAAAGAAGCAAAGAGAGATGCATTTTAAAAATAAATAAGTTAATTATTTTATTATAATTATTATTTTACTTCTTAAACTGATCTATAGGGATTATGATGGAAGTCTGTAATTAATATAATTCTGGCTTTTTTGAGTTTATAACTCACAATTTAGACTTTTTTTCAGAAATGCGAAATATAAACTTGCAATTGCAAGAATGACAAAATTAATATTTTATTTTGTGGTGAAAAAAAAAAGACAGAATTGTGATATGTAAATTTGGAATCGCGAGAAAAATTCAGAATTCTGATTCCTGAATTCTCAGAATTCTTCAGAATTGCAAGAAAGTCCAAATTGTGAGATTAGTCAGAATTAACAGTCTGTTTTATTAATTTTTTTTTAAATCTGTGGTGGAAACATTCTTCTATATATGGTTGCTTACCAGTCGTGTCAGCGTAAGGACTGAGAGTGTGGTCACTTTGGTCAAGCGCACCAACTGAAAATAACAGCAACAAGAAAAATAGTTTCTAAAGGGGCTAAGTAGATTCATATTTGATTAATATATGTGTAAAGATGATTGGTGATGACTTATTAGCGCTGTTCCAAAATCTAGTGGGATACATTGTTGTCTAAATAGACAGGTGCCTTCTATATGTAAAATAATATTTGGAAGACCTAACTCATAAGTTTGAAGTTAGCATGCTGGTAGGTGAATGGCAAGTCTAATGTGCATAAAAACAGCACAAGCTTTAACTATTTAAGAAATACTCTTGGTATTCACTGAAATAAAGGTAGGCCTATATTTCAAGTAATTTTGGATGGGTTTATTCACTGAGTTCCCCTCAAAGCATTCTGGGGTTGTTTTCCCCAATACCTTAGATATTTGGATAAAACAAAGAACTTTATAAATGCATAAAGTAATGCTGCCTACCTCACTGTGTGAGCAAACCAATGATGTCTAGGTAGGCAACATTTCATTTAAGGCAAGACATTACAAGTGGATAGGTTGACATTTTAACTAATGTTTAAATAACTAAGTTTCCCACTTTTTTTTAAATGTGCACTACTACTAGCAAATAGATGTGATGTGAACTAAAATCCACAAAACTCTGATATTTGATTTCATGGCTTTAAACCTGCCATGAGAAATATTTTCCGTATTGAGCACAAGCATTTGGTAAACCCACATAACCCCACCACTCTAGACAGACTAGCCAAGGGAAGACGCATAAAAATGTAATTATGGCTAACAAATCAATTGACTTTCAGTGATTTCATACAACCAGGTAATATAGTACCAGCTGTGTGATGCATCTCCGTTGCAGCGTCCTGATGGCCTGTTCCGCCTGTTTGGAAAGACATTTGGGAATATTCATATCGATTCCAAGATATTAGTCTGTCAATAATATGACGTTGTGATTGTGTGTTGATTAGTTGTGTTTGTTTTATTGCTAGATACATACTGATGTCGAGATGAACGCCTGGAGGGTCACCTGTGAACGAATCCAGACACCCACTGTAGTTCTCTCTCGTTTATAGGTTTCATATGTTTTTATAGACATTTCAACATACCTTTCTGTATGTCTACCACAGGTTTGTGCCGACCGTTTCCATTTCCTGTAATGCAGTTACGAATTATGTGTCAAAATAATACTGTATGATGAAATCCCTGCACGTGGTCAACCACCTAAAACAGCTTGGACCATGGAAAAGTAGCCAACAACTGCTTTAATCGGGATTTTCCAGCAAGGAAAGGTGAGGTTACATGTTGACTGTAACTTACCATTTGTATCAGGTAAATCTGCACCATTATTATCTGCCCCACCATCTGAGGAGAACAACAAAAACTGTTAAATATAATATCGTATCTCATATATATTTTGTTTTGGGTCTTTTGTAATTGAAAATAGGGCTAATACTTTACCATAAAGATCCATTTATTAACATTGGTTAACTACATTAGTTAACAATAAATAAGAATAATAAATGCCATATAAGTATTGTTCACTATTAGTTGATTAACATTTTTTTTTTTTTACATTAGTTAATATTAAGCTAGATTAATAAAAGCTGTAGAAATATTGTACATTGTTAATTTCAACATTTACTAATACATTTAACAATTGCATTTTTATTACCTTTTTATTAACATTTACAAAGATCAATAGATGCTGCATGTATGTAAGTAAATATACTGCTAATTGTAAGTTTGTTGTTAGTTAGCTATTGCATTAACTAATGTTAAAGGAATAGTTCACCAAAAAAATGAACATTTGCTGAAAAAATGTACTCTTAACCCAAGATGTAGATGAGTTTGTTTCTTCATCAAAATTAGCATTATGAATGGGTGCCGTCAAAATGAGAGTCCATGCAGCTTTTCGTTTAAGTTGTAAACTGATGGACTGGAGTCATGTGGATTACTTGTGGATTATTGTGTTTTTTTTTTTCATCTGTTTGGACTGACGGCACCCATTCACTGCAGAGGATCCATTGGTGAGCAAGTGATGTAATGCCCCATTTCTCAATATCTGTTAAAGGAAAAACCTTATCTACATCTTGGATGGCCCGAGGGTGAGAAAATCTACAGCATTTTTCTTTTTGGGTGAACTATTCCTTTAACAAATGAGACCTCGTTGCAAAGTTTTACTGTCCTACCTGAATAATCTAAGAAGGAATGACCCGGATGTGACATTGTGTCAAAGACTACTGAGGAATCTGTAAAAATCAGATTAAACTTCAATTAAGATTTTACACACTTTCACCATTTTATGTCACTTTCCACCAGACCATGCAGGATTTTTCGTGAGAATGTTGTTTAACATCAGTTTACCTGTTGTATCAGCTGGTGATTTTGATTGGGCTCCATTATCAGCCGTGCCTGGAGATATTATGAAAGATATTATTAGAAAGAAACATAATATACTATTACTAATTTAATGCTAGTAAACAGATTAATACTTTACTTACTGATTGAATGAGTATAATCACCATTCGCATTGTCAACAGACAGGTAATCTGGTCCTGGAGAGTGATATACAGAACAAGAGACGGTTAGCAAGGTAAATGATTGGTTTACCAGACATATTTACATTATCTATCTATCTATCTATCTATTGTAAGAAAAAGTGAAGACGTCGAAGATCTTGATGAAGAATAACTTTTATTACAGAATAGTAGTGACAAAGTACATGTAGTACCTTGGGTTCAACGGAGTCAGACTGAACCCCGAACATCCTAAGCTCAATCATTTTATACAGTATTACGTTCATCTTCCCGCTCAACATGTAAATTAAGTTTCGTTTTAAATGTAAATTGCGGATGACAATGAAAGTGATAGCCTTCCGTTCCCACATCTTCGGTAGACTCAAGTGGGAACAACCAAATGTTAAGGTGATAAGATTAAACAGAATCCATAGCAGTTATTTCATGTACCCTTTTGGTCAGCAGATGGTTCTTGATGACCTGCTGCTTCTCCCACGCTATAAGTGACAAATTATCGCTCCGGAGGTACTATTTACATATGATTAAGATCGGAAAGAACTATCTATATGATAATTAAGCTCTTTGTAGAGAAAGGAGCATAGTTTAATACACAATTTGGAGTGGAAGCTGGGTCGAGGCAGACTATAATTTCTTACACTATCTATCTGTCTATCTGTCTGTCTGTCTGTCTGTCTGTCTTGTGTCATTCCATCTATTGTTCTTTCATTCTATCAGTTGTTCTATCTATCCATCTTAAAGCTCCTACACTCATTCAGTAAACTGAGTTATGAGTTCAGTGATCAGTCTGTGTAATTCATACGGATGCATGAAACCCCAGTGACCTCTCATGACACTAAAAACGTCTCTGAAAGTTGTCGTTACGCCCCCTTCGGAGCCAATGTCAGGATTGTAAGTCTGACAGAGTTTATTAGACGTGTGCTGGGATAATCCCACGGCTACTGGGGTAAAAGCACTCTAAATTTATGCGGATGACAATGAAAGTGATAGCCTTCCGTTCCCACATCTTCGGTAGACTCAAGTGGGAACAACCAAATGTTAAGGTGATAAGATTAAACAGAATCCATAGCAGTTATTTCATGTACCCTTTTGGTCAGCAGATGGTTCTTGATGACCTGCTGCTTCTCCCACGCTATAAGTGACAAATTATCGCTCCGGAGGTACTATTTACATATGATTAAGATCGGAAAGAACTATCTATATGATAATTAAGCTCTTTGTAGAGAAAGGAGCATAGTTTAATACACAATTTGGAGTGGAAGCTGGGTCGAGGCAGACTATAATTTCTTACACTATCTATCTGTCTATCTGTCTGTCTGTCTGTCTGTCTGTCTTGTGTCATTCCATCTATTGTTCTTTCATTCTATCAGTTGTTCTATCTATCCATCTTAAAGCTCCTACACTCATTCAGTAAACTGAGTTATGAGTTCAGTGATCAGTCTGTGTAATTCATACGGATGCATGAAACCCCAGTGACCTCTCATGACACTAAAAACGTCTCTGAAAGTTGTCGTTACGCCCCCTTCGGAGCCAATGTCAGGATTGTAAGTCTGACAGAGTTTATTAGACGTGTGCTGGAATAATCCCACGGCTACGGGGGTAAAAGCACTCTAAATTTACAGGACCTAAAGGAGCACAGAGCGGCAGCCAGCAGCCATTACCTGGAGGAGCGTCTAGAACCGGACCGCCACTGGACGGGTGCCCTGGACTCAGGCCAGCGGCTGGAAAGGAGAACCAGTGAGAGAAAAAGGACAGCTTTGATTCACACCAGTCGTCATTCAATAAATGATTAGGTAGAGAACAGAATCTGGCTGGTTTATTCTGTCAGCGTGGCCCATAATTAGTACAGCATGACAGCTGGACAGAATGAGGGAAGGCTCTCAGTGCCGTATGTGAGCCGTTTCACAGCATGGGCATAAAAGTAAATCAAGTGAACTTAACTAGTGTGGGACGTCCTATTTGCTACAAGGCCAATGAGATCAGCAGAAAGCAATTCTGATGACCGCAGCCCAAAAGCCATAAACATCAAGCCTCTCTGGTTATGTGAAAAATGGACGCTTACCTGCCGAATCCACCTGAAATGCGAGTCCCATGTGATCTGTTGAGACAGCGTCAGTTACTAGGCATGTGGGTGGAACGTCTGGAGGAGTGTCTAAGAGGTCTAAAAGCGTACCTAGCCCGTCTGTTTGGGTGTCTGGACCAAAGCTCTCTCCTGTTCCACCTGTAGAGGGAGACATTCTGGTCCATACTGAGAATCGACATTCAGTATTCCTTCCACTAATTAATGAGAACAAAGAAATGCTCACCCATTAAGCCAATAAGGAAGTCATGGCTTGACTGATCTAATATGCCTGCAATGAAAATTTGTAATGAAATGTTTGAGGTCCTAGTATGGTCTGATGCTCACATTATTATTTAGTGAATATGTATAGAGTTTTTGATGTTAAATGTATACACTTTTGTTTAAAAGTTGGGGTCAGTCAATTTTTTTAATGTTTTTAAAAGTCGTCTGATCAAAAATACAGTAAAAACAGTAATATTGTCAAATTTTATTACAATTTGAAATTACTGTTTTAATTTGAATACTTTTAAAATGTTATTTATTCCTGTGATACAACGATCAGTGTTTGGTCAAATTAAGGCATTGTTGTTAAAAAAAAAGTTTGTTTAAAAAAAAAATAAAATAAAAAATCTTACTGACCCCAAGGTTTTGAACAGTAGTGTAGAAGCTTCTGATCAGTGTTTTGGCTTTGGGTTTAACTCAATAACTCAAAATGTGTTTTTTTGCTTTTGTAGGTCAGAAGAGTTGAACTGATGTTTACCTGTAATTTCCAGGTGAGGGCTTGTGCCAACTGAATCAAAACCACCTGCATACGTACATATGACAAACAACACATGAAGAGAAGTTCATTTTTTTTAATTGAAAACAGTGTAAGTATACTTTTTATCTCAGAAATGAATGTTTTTTCCATGGCAGGATTTGAAATCATGCTTTTATACCTGTTCCTTGTATCTGGGATGTGCCTGCCATGAAATGATCCAAGCCTGCAACAAAAACAAATTAACATCAGAGACAGTTAGTTAGTTTTTATCTTTTGTGTCATATGGTTTTAATTGACTGACATTTCATATATTCATTGTTTCCTCACCTGTAAATCCTGTTTCTCCTCCATTCAGAAGCTGTTTGTGTCCATTGCCTATGAGAGGAACCCGATTAAAATGACTACATCACTCATTCTGATTAATATGATGCACAATACTGTTTGATGTGCATTACCACACAATAACACTCACCGTTAGATTCTATCTCAGGGATTTCTGAATGTACAAGATAAAAACGACATAATTATGATATAAATTATAATTTAATAGAAAACATTTTGTAAACTGTGTGTAAACTTTAATGTTCATCACCTGGAGACTCTATTTGAGATCCATCATGAGCGGTTTCCCCTGATGCAAGAAGACAAGATGTGTTCTTGATAATTGTGTAAAGCATTTAAAAAGTAAGAAATGACCTCCATGAGATACAATAGCAAGAACCTGTTATACACATACCATTTTCATACTGTGAGCCATCTGTATGTGGAGCGAATCCCTCTGACCCTGAACACACATGCAAAGAGCATTATGATTGTATAACTTTTGCATAGATCTTTTACTTGAAGCCTTATATGTAATAAATATAAAATTATATTTAAAGGAATAGTTCACCCGAAATTGAAAAGTTGCTGAAAATTTAGTCACCCTCAGGCCATCCAAGAAGAGTAGATAAGTTCGTTTCTTCATTGAAACAGATTTTGAGAAATATACACTCTAAAAAATGCTGGGTTAAAAAAGGGACAAACCCAGCTATTGGGATGTTTTGACCCAGCGGTTGGGTTCAAAACATCCCAACCTGCTGGGTCAAAACAACCCAATAGCTGGGTTTGTCCCTTTTTAACCCAGCGCTGGGTTATATTTAACCCAGCATTTTTTAGAGTGTAGCATTACATCACTTGCTCACCAGTGGATCCTCTGCAGTGAATGGGTGCCGTCAGAATGAGAATCCAAACATGATAAAAACATCGCAATAACTTACAAGTAATCCAAACTCCAGTCCATCAATTAATGTCTTGTATAGTGAAAAGCTGCATGTTTGTAAGAAACAAATCTATCATTAAAATGTTTTTAACTTCAAACCACACTACATACATCTAAACCATGAGTCCTCTATCCACAATATTGCTTCCTCCAGTGAAAGAGTCATAAATCAGGAGAGAAATATGCACAGATCAAGCACCGTTTACAAGGAAAAACTGTCCAAAACTGTCCTAAATAAATATGTTGGTGGATTTTGATGTGAGAGGACAACGGGATGGACTTTTTAACTGGAGGAAGCATTATGAATTTTGGTATCTAGGCCAGAAACAACGGTTTGAAGTTAAAAACTGGTTAACGATGGATTTGTTGCTTACGAACATGCAGCTCTACAAGAAGTGAATTGATGGGCTGGAGTCGTGTGGATTATTGTGATGTTTTTATCAGCTGTTTGGACTCTCATTCTGACGGCACCCATTCACTGCAGAGCTGAGCAAGTGATGCAAAATTTCGCCAGATCTGTTTTAGTGAAGAAGCTCATCTTTCAAGCACATCTACAACTTGGATGGCCTGAGGGTCAGTCAATTTTCAGCAAATTTTCAGTTTTGGGTGAACTATTCCATCTTTTTGATTGAAATACCTGCAGGCTGTGATTGGACCTCAGAGGAAACTACACCCACACCGTCTGACATCTGTCCTGCTGAAGGTCGGCCAAACGTGTGGCTGGATATCACTGTGGACCCATGACCTGCTGCTATGTGGCCTGATGACCCTTGACCTGATGACACTGTGAGATTGACAAAGATATCTCATTGTGAAGTGAATGCTATATTTTGATTTTATGTGCATAATATAAACACACATTATAAGGCACAGCTGCCTTAAGATAAACAGAACAACCTCTTACCAACAGAAATGGACACTGAATGAATGCCCCCGTCTGTGCCTGAAACAAATTAAACATATTGGGTTTCTCTAGCGATGTTTTTTTTTTCCTTCTAAAATTTCAAATATTTGAGATCATATTTTGAACAATAATTTTGTTTCTAAATGTCATTACCAGGGACTTTAAATCCTGAACCTCCATTAGCACCTGCTCCTCCAGCTCCTACACCTGAGAACAATTCCCTTTATCACTCTTCATGCTATGCACTACTGTTTAACAATTAATGAATTAATTTATTTTTATTTAAATTTTTTTTAAGAAATGAATACTTTTACTCCGACCCCAAACTTTTGTTATTGTTATATTGTTACATATTATATTATATTCAATTTTTTTAATAGTAGTATTAAACCTTTTAGTATTTTTAGTGTATATAGTTAGTATTTATGCCATGCCATATAAATGTGTAACTTGCTTTTTTCTTTTTTTTAGGCCAGAATCAGTGATCAGGTACCTGGAGGAACTATCTCTGATTTGGACCCATCTTGTCCACCATAACTTGCATCTGTAAGTGAAATAAATACAGTGATTAGGCAGTCGACTTGTTAGGGCAAAAAGAAAAGCATATACAGCAGGTGAACAGGTACAGTACCATGAGAACTAGAGCCAGATGGGCGAGAGTACCCGTCTCTTCCGTTACTTCCTGTAACCCACAAAGAAATATTTCTGAGAGGACAGTAATAACGGATAGCCGTCAATGCTCCAGTAATCCAATGACATGCAGTTAGTGGTTTAATTAAACAACAAAACTAATAACCCTGCATCACATTTTCTGAATGAAATCCAATGTTTGTTTTTGTTTTTTTTTTACTAATTTTGGGGTGCTGATTCCAAAAATAGTGCCTATTTTGCTCTAGCATGTCATTTTCTCACAAAATACAATGTGCATTTTGTAGCATTTTTGCATTCTACAACCATTTGTAAGGTTAGGAAGTCTTGAATTATCCCTTAATCAGTGGAAAAACTGCCATAAAGACAAGCTTACTATCTTTCTCTGAGCCCAGTACAACTATTTGTTAAATTCTCAGCCAATAATTTCAAGGTTAGAATTAAGGCCAGCAACAGAAGAAAATGCAAGCATGATCTAGATCTGTGAATGTTTTCCTACATCCAAACAGCAACAGAAAATGACAGATTTTGTGAAAACATATTTGAAAATTGTTCTAATTCGTTGCAGATTGTAAGTTAAATTATACATTTAGAATTCTTGTTTTTGTGAAAACCTTTGACATTTGGCTGCTTTTGTTGTTTCATAAGTGCATTAAAGCAGATAAATACATAATTTTGTGAAAGTTTATGTGAAGTTTTTATTGATATTTTTGAACTCGGCATCGTCAAATTAGGTAATATTAGGCTTTTTTTTACAGCAGCAGGTTTTATAATATTCTGATTGAAATGCTGGTTACCGTCTGAAGCTCCATTTGAAGCTGTTGATGTGCTGCTGCCTGATGCTGTAATGACAAAAACACTAGTTTAGGTTCTGATATCTAGATTTGACCTCCTGATGTTCGGCTACGACCCTGTGCGTATATTGTAGCTCTGTAGTGCATTTCCTACATAAGGTCAGTCGGTGTTGCTTTTCTAAAGTGCGACTTGCGTGAAAGTTTTGCCCCTGATAGATCAGGTTCACACTTACAGACTTGGCCAGTTTGAGTGCCTCCATTAAGTTTCTGACCTGAGAAACAAGAGCAAAGGTTTTGTCAAAAGATGTATTGGACTTCAGAAAGGCCTGAAAAGTGGCCATTGAGCTTTCAACAAATTCACCTTTCACCAGAGGCCATGAGAGGCTAATGCACTCCGAACAGAACTTGTTTTTGCGTTATCGAGTAGACTTTCCTTACCGTTTGGGGATTCGCCCGCCACGGTGCTGCCAGGAGTCATACCTTGGAGAAAAACAGCCCTTCAGTCTAAACAAGGTCCTGAAACATCGGCCCAACAAACATGCAATCTCACTGCGCTACAGGCCTCTGTTTTGCACGGATCTGTGCACCTGATGTTTCGTCTTTCCACATTTATTAATAAATCGAGCAATGCTGTTCAGCCACCGTGGCTAAAAATCCCCACATACCTGATCCCTAAACCAGATTAAGTACTGATTGACTTTGCTTACTGAGTACGGTGCACCCAGTGAACTATTTTCCAGTGCTGAGAGGTTCAGTGTTCTCTGCCTCCAGCTCTAAAGAGGATTAGCTTCACCTTACCCAAGCCTCTGGGTGCTGCAGTGGCCTGCTGCGATCCGGCTCCTTTGGGAAAAGAGGGAGAGGAACAAGAAACATATTCTTAAGATTCCCAGAGATCATTTCTCACAGGTCAATCAATCTATTCTGGCCAGGTGGCTTCTGAAAGGACAGACACTCTTTTTACATGTGCTTAAGGGGTTTTGCATCTTGTATAAAGCAGCTATATAGATTTTAAGTTGCTTTTATTGGCTTTTATGTGCATTTTAGATCGGATTTTAGTTTCGTTTTTACAATGTCGCTACCACATTAGAACTAAATGCTACAAGTTGAATATAGAGTAACACCAGTCTTTAGTCTTTAACACTGTAATTTATAGAAAATTTGGGGTCAGTCAATTTAGTCTTTAACAGAAATTATGCATTAAATTGATCAAAACTGACAGTAAAGATTTCGGTAATGTTATAAAAGATGTCTGTTCGAAATAAATGCTGTTATTTTGATCTTTCTATTTATCAAAGAATCCTGAAAAAATGGATCAGTTTCTGCAAAAATATTGAGCAACACAACTGTTTTCAACATTGATAAAAATAGAAATGTTTTCTTTGCATAATTATTTCTGAAGGGTCATGTGACTTCATAAGTATTATATTTTGAAATATATTCAAATAGAAGACAATTATTTACAATTTTTATATTTTTCACTACAGACCCCAAATTTTTGAATGGTAGTATATCTTAATTACCTTACGAAAAGAACTATGGTTGTATCAGATGGCAATACTATGGTATTTTAAAATATATTATGGTACTGAAATCCATGTACTCTTGTATGTTGCAAATACTGTAAATATAAAATATTATGATACATGAATTTCAATATCATGGTATATATCGAAGTTCGATAAGATTACCATCACTGCAGTAGGTTTTCACATCACAATATTTTTGTTAGGAATATCATGGTATTACCATGATACTCCAAAATACTCAAAATAATATGTTGTCCAAAAAACAAACAAACATATAATAGCATGCTGCTTTGATATATATACTATGATACTGTGTGGTTACCATACTTTAAAATCTTAATGATCAAGCTTAGAAAAACAAAGTATTATCATTGATCCCATGTCCAAAAATCACAGAATACAAGAAAAAAATACCACAGTACTTTTTTGTAAGTGTAATGTCTGATTATGGCAGAACCCCAAATGTTTCGAATAGCTCAGCCTCATTAAGAAAGACTGACTTTTGAAGTAACTTATGACTTATTATGTGATTATTAAAGATGACTGAGGTTTTGCACAATGGTGGTAAGTTGTGAACTTGTCACCCACCCTTCATATGCTGACCTTTGGAGTCATCATCATCTGTAAAGAAAAGGGAAAATCGATACAGTTTATAACAACCGCTCCTTTGTTTTGCCCTTCTCCTCTTTCTGTCCCGAATCCCTCGCAGACTGTTATCAGAATAATATGAGTCCACAGAGTTTAGAATTCACTTATCTGTTTGAAGTTAAATGCTCTTTTATTTTCTCTTTGAGACTTTGTATTTACCCTCTTTGATGTGTTTATGGGTTTATGAATCCGAAGGGATTTTTAAAAGAAATTCAGGTTTACTTTAAAACCGTTTATCATGAACATTATAGTATTAACTTCTCATTTTGTCCTGTTGCAGGATCACATCTAGTGTCAAACTGCCTACAATATGAGCTTCTTGATGTGGTACGATCGGCTCTCATCGGGATGTTGATGAAGTAACATCTAAAATAACTTCATTCCCTACCCTCTTCCTCCTCAGACAGTTCTTCTTCACCCTCTTCAGCCTCAAAGTCATTTTCCTCAGGCTCCTTATCTGTCCGGAGGAATAATTGAGCAGTTTAATGAACATGGGCGCTGTATGTTAAACATAGGAGTGTGTCATTAAATAATCCCTTTGGGAAAAGAGCTCATACCTTCAACAGGAGCCGTTGATACGGTGGACGCCAGAAACACAACAGCCACTGAAGCAATTACAAGATTTCTGTGAAAGCAAAATGATAAGAGTCCAGAATAAGCACATTCAACCCAGAAATTTGCAATTTCTCATGCAGATTCTCAAAAGCAGCTGAAAATGGGCATTAAAATCCAACAATTCTCTTGGGAAATGCATGCTTTTTAACTTGCATACAACTTAATTCATCGATTTGGCTTTTTAAAAACACAAGTAATTGTTAAAAGCAATACTTAGCACCGAGTTTGCATGTTTTAATAATAAAGCATTCAGTTATCAGACATTATATCACATTTTATTATTAAACGAGATTCCCAGCATTAAATTATTAGAGTAACACAGACTTTTAAACCAGATATAAGTTATATGCATCAAATCCTACACAAAACATGCTTTTAGTCTATTAAAAAAAATAATTCCTGCAGCTTAAACACAGTGCTAGGAACACCAAAGTTATGGGTTTGATTCCTAAGGAATGTAAGAATGAATGCATGTACTTTGAATTCAATGCAAGCTGCTTTAAATAAATGCATAAACATAAAAACTCATTCAAGCACATTGATAAACCAATCCACTGCTCATTCTTGATATATATTGATAAATAATTGCTCATTTAGCTATCAGTTATTCCCCTGATGTCAATTTCAGAGATATTGGTTGTTATGAATCGATCATCATTGACTTACCGTGACAGCATCTTTAGCACAGGTCTATGTGGGAAACTGTGCAGCAGACATAAAGCAACCAGCAAATGGGCTTTTGACTTCCTTATGCTTGACTGGCCAGCAAAATACATTTTATACCCTTCCAGCCCCCCATCTTGGTAAGGGGCAGGACTTCTAACCCCAGCCCCTGCCATTCAAACTGCTCCCACCAATCAAACGACAGGTGAGTACTCACACATTTTTGATTCATAATTTATATTCAGATCAGATCTGCAGTGTCTTCCCGTATCAAAGTGCAGAAATTATGAGGAATATCTTCTGCACCAAAAATCGGGATGAAAAGCATCATAATTCATGGTATGTCCCATCATCTGTTTGGCCCAGCAGGCAGCGGTGGAATCAGTAAGGCAGCTTAACCAGTGGAGGGCACCTACACAACATCACGCACAGACCAGAGCCACAGGAACTCATGCAGGAAGTTACAGGTGTTTTCTCATTTATTCACCCTTGGAAAACAAGATGACCTGGCTGGTTTTAGATCAGAGGCTTTCAGATGGTTCTTTCATGCTTATTTTGTGGTATAGCTCTTACAAAAAACTGCAATACTCTAAAGAATGAATAATGGTGCCTTTTATTTTTAAGTATTTGCTTTTATTTAATAAATCATATTTTCAAAATGTATATATTTAAATTTCCAAAAACATTAATGATAAAAATTCATAAATTGTCTCCAAAATACTATTGTTCAGGTTGTACAGTGGGATTATTTATTTTATTTTTATTTTATTTTTTGGTCATTGTTGTTTGTTAATTTGAGTACATTTGATTGAATTTTAAATTAGGTTCAAGTCTGTCCAAAAACATGGATTTTGGAAACTGGATTTTTGTCCTAACTTAAGTAAATGCTGTGGCCAGAAACAAGGTAATATGAATAGCATAAGGTGGTTTGCTGGTCTTTGCTGGGTTAACCTGGTTTAGATGGTCAACCATTTGAACCCCCAGCCTGACTAGCTGACAAGTGGCCAAAACCTCTAAAAAAAAAAAAGGCTGGTTTTAATTTATTTTAATATTTTATGTATTTATTTATTTGCTTGCTGAAACAGTCTGTATAAATTTTGGGACATTTTATATCATACATTTCTTTATTTAAATTTTTTAATTGATTTATCTTTTTTTTATTTATGCTAATGTATAGTGTAATACACCTTTTTACTTTTATCATTTATTATTTCTTTTATTCAGATTTATATGTTCACTTTTAAGTATAAAAATCAGTAAATGTTTTTAGATTTTTACAACTGATATTATAATATAAAAGGACCTCTTACACCTTAAAGTACAATATAACAAAAATATGTATACCTATATTAATTAATATATATATTTTTTTTTTACTTTTTTTTAATTTTTGCATTTATGTATGCATTTTTCCATAATATTGAGTAAATGAAGACCACAAGTGTTGCTAGGTCTTTTGAAGAAAGACAGTAACATTAAGAATTTCTTGTGATGTTTTAATGGATTAGCATGGTCCATTCAAGTACTATGGTATCTGTATTTTGCATAAGCTAATGCTCCTGTCCCATCACAGTAACTGAATATCTGGCAGCTCTCAGGAAGATCGCATTCCTGTAGCGTGTGCCAGTTCACATCAAGCCCGTTTTACAATGTAACGAACACCAGCAGGCCTCGAAATGCATTTCTGATAATGATAAACTCCTCCCGATGAGCTAAATGGACGCGTGTCGTAGCAAAGCTAATGAGCTCTTGAGCTAAACAAGCTTTCTTTGTTGTAATGTGAAATGTGAACTGTGTGTGTGTATTTTGATTGATCTGTACTATCATGTTACAATAATACTCTGTGTTCTTTGTTAAACCCTGAATCCAAATAATGTAAAAGATGTTAGCTTACATAATGTGTAACTATAGCTAGCTTTAGTTTTTTTCCTGCTAGAAATTTTAGTCTCATTTGCTATTGGAAGAATCAGTGGTTCACAAAAATGCTTTGCATGTACTTGAGTACTAGACTACTATTGCTAGTAAATGTCCACCTGCTGGTACAGTGTCAATCACAGGAGCAGTGTGGAATAACAAGACATACTGAAAAGCTGTATTATTACACATCAGCTGCTCTTGTTGGCAGATGTGGCCAGATTTCTGCTGGCCAGTTTTAATGTCCCGTGGCTTCCCTCATTCCTGCAGGCCTGCCTGATCTCAAACAAAAGCTCTCTGTTAGGTGCTTGAAACCATAGCGCTCTTGGAGCCAACCTTGGGTGACGAGATTAGAAGTGCCAGTCCAGGATCTGTTCAGCTCGGCCGGTGGGGTCAGGCAGTACAGCGAGTGGCTGCCGTAAGTGGAGACTGTGCTCGGACCATATGGAAAAGGACGGACCACCACAGTTGTATCCTATGGCAAAAATATATTTTTCCACACTTACAATATATTTTGGTAAATAAAAATAACAAAATGTATTCCAGAGGCAAGAAAATTATTGTCAGTGTTATGCATGTCATTTGTTGTGTGTGTGGGGAAAAAATGTGTAATAGTTGTGGCAATGTATTGTTAAAATAGTGGTTAAAAATAATTTTAGTTTTTATTATTTTTAAATTATTATTTTATATTATAATTAATAATGTATAAAATTATATATAGAAACTTGGTATCAATTTATATAAATGTATAGTATAAATGCTCTCTCTCTCTCTCTCTCTCTCTCTCTCTATATATAT